TTTTTGGATGGAGGTGTGGAAGGGTTAAAACCTTTGATAAGTCTTTTTTGGATAAATGTGGGAAATGGTTAGAACCTTCCATAAATCTTTTTGGATAGATGTGGGGAAGGGTTAGAACCTTGTATAGGTCTTTTTCACTGTCTCTCTCACCCCTTCTATTTGTCCTGGTGACTATGCTGGACAATCCTTGACTTTAGAGAGATCTCTTCTCACTTCCTGTTGTGTCTCCAGGCCAGGATGTAGAGGGAAACCTCCCCAATGAAGCGCCTCCTCAAAAAAAAAAAACAGACAGAGGTTAGGTAACCATTTATTGTGGTTTTTGGATTCAGGCGAAAAGGATCAAAACCTTCAATAGGTCTTTTTCACTATCTCTCTCACCCTTTATTACCTCTATTTGTCCTAGTGACTACACTGTAACTTCTCTGACTTTGGATAGGTTTTCTCTCAATTCCTGTTATGTCTGTGGGGCAGAAAGTAAAGGGAACGATCCCCAATAAAACACCCCTAAAACAAAACAGGAGTTTTCGCCTATTTGCTACTTTGTGCAAAACTAGAAACTAAAGCTGGCTATACACTGGTAGATTTCTGTATGGACGTTAATTTGTAAAATCTCATAAGAACATTCAGTAACGCCATCAGAGACTTGAGGAATGTCGTCACAAATTTTGTTTGATTTTGGAAATGAATGGAGTTTGCCAAATGGAAAAACTACAATCACTGTTAGAATTTAATTCATCCAAAAATTCCCATCCTGCTCCTTCGCTTTTTTTCCAGTTGAAATTGATTGTCAATTTGACCCCATTAACTATTAGAAAATTGGAGGAACATTCTAAAAACAACATTTTATTGAATTAAATCCGACCGGCTTTGTTGGGACACTTTAACTTTAGATATACTTTGAGCTTGTTTAAAGTAAATAAGTGAAGATTGTTAACACAACTATCCAGCCCTCCACCCATGCCAAGGTCCTAGGTGTCATCCTTGACTCGGACCTCACCTTTCTTCTCCACATCCAATCAAAGCAATCGTTTCGTCCCAAATCAAAATTCGGACGAATTTTCCAAAATGTGGACAAATGCCAATGCATCCAAATGTGTCCGCATCCGAATTTCCGAATTTTGCATCCCGTCCGAATTTCGTTCAAAAACGAAACTGAATCGGACATGTGACTTTTCTGGCCAATCAGATGTGTGTTTAATGCATCTAAATGGGATATACATATAATGCTAACGCTGAGGCTCCCAGACCCGAATGGCATTCGGGATCCGAATTTCCGAACTGCATTCAGGAAGCTCCCAAATTTGGGATTTGGGAGCCTCAGCTTTAGTAATATATGTATATGGCTCCCAGATTCACTCAGACCCCAACTCTATGCATAGACTGACCACTCAGAGCCCTGCTAGAGTAAGGAAGGTACCTGTGTTATGTTTTTACTAATGCCCCTTATTTTCTATCTTGAGGACAATTTAATCAGATACTTACCAACATTATGGTCCCAGATCCCAGGACACTGTTAACCACACCCATGGCCCACATTTTGTCCACCCATTTTCTGGATTCATGCCAAGTTGTTCCCACTTTATGAATTGGTCCCGCTACTTAATGTGCTGGGATCACCCATCATGCTCTCTTTCCCTGTCTCTAAATAGGCAAGGACCTCTCACTCATGGCCGTAATCCGCAAAATGAATTCCGTTATGAGTTACTGAACCTGACTCAAAGAAAGTTGATGCTTTTATCCCAGGACACAGCATCAGCAGGACAGAGGGCCAAGATGCAGGAAGATCCCAACATATCAGTGACAATTGTCATCTGTGATTGTTAACGAGATAGAAAATGAGGGGAAATCCAAAACTGTGCAGTTATCACAGAGCAAGAAGTGAGAACAAATCCTGCTATGGGGACACCTGTACACGTAACAACTTTCTAAGATCGGAATTCCATTCACTTTGGAAAGATATTCATTAATTTTCTGTTGTGTCTCTAGGACAGGACGTGGAAGGAACTTGTTTTCCTAAAATGAGCATTTCACCTATGAAGCACGGTGGGGAGGCACCTCTGGCTTATTTAACATGGCAAGGTCCTCCAACCGGTCTGATCGATATTCCTCCCAATGCAGGTTCATACGAGACACAAAATTGTCACATGATTGGGCCAAACATAGCTGGATCACTGGGCTGCCATGTTACAGTAGGAGACCTTTAGAAGGCCCATGTAGAGCATAATGGCAGGTTCACTTTAGTGGTGGCCCAACCTTCTGCCTACATCTTCTATGATTAAACCCATTGGGTGAAACGCATCAGTACAACAAAGCTTTATACATCCTGGAAGACGGAGTGTGTCGGCATTCTCTATGTTTTCTTCTGCTTACATTTGCCTGCAGGAAACCTTATGTAACCTCCAGGTTCCGAACTGGAGATTACACACTGCTGAGGACTCTCTCCCTGCCCCCACGTGACAGTGCTGGGTACATGAGCAGCCAATTACAAAGCACCAGAGCTATCACGCAGCTGGAAGAGGAGTAAGTCACATGCTTTCCCATTCCTGGAAGTACCGAACATTGTTCTTTACTTCCCATGGTTGAACGGAGCAGCGAATAGTGAAAGAAAAGTGGATATGTGCTACTGCATGTGCCATCATTAAAGTAAACCTGAAACCCCTTAGACCCGAGCTATACATACCAAGTATATATTTACTGCTCCCTTGTATATATTAAGTAGACCGTCAAGCGTGTAAAGCAACCATGACTGTCCATACAACTACTATGGGGCCCAGAAGTAAAAGGAGCCCAGCAATATCTGGCTACATAGTTATTTGTGCAGGTAACAACAGTGTCGGGCCAAAATACATTAAGGAAAATGTATACATAGTTTGGGAAGCAGTATAGGATTACTATAAAAGGGAATAGTAGTATTTATCACCGGATGAATTAGAGAGTTGGGGGCCCCATCATACATACTAATGGCTCCATACAAATTATATTGTAGCAACTGATGAATAGCAATGTAAAGTCGTACCCCACCTTCCTTACTAGAGCAGTAGAAATACGTTCTAAAAAAAACTATATTTGGAACAGTCGTTCGTTCTTCTAATAGTTAATGGGGTCAAGTTGACAAGTTATTTCGGCCATAGAAAATCGAAGGAGCGGGATGGAATATTTTCCTCGAACAAACGAAATTCTAACAGCGAATGTGGATTTTGTTCAGGAGTCTCCATTCATTTTAAAAATCGAATTTTAAATCAAACGAAATTGTGAATGACATCCGTCGAGTCTCTGATGGCATTATCGTAATGATCACATTTTTCATATGAACGTTTATAGGGAGATCTACCGGTGTACGGTCAGCTTATTGTTTCTGCTGAGATCGGTGGATGAAAGTTTAGATTGTATCTACAGCACCACCTGCTGGTGAAACCAGAGATCACAGCTTTATTATACTATAATATGCCACTCTATGGCATATCTTTGGTCTTTGGCCCACAATGCTTGGGACTTCTGGACACAGAACACTATGTTCAAAGTTCATGTCAATGCGTTTTCCATTCAACCTCATGAAGGTGCATTTAAATGGAAAACAACGTTTTTGAGAGAAAAAGGCTGCACTTGACCTGTTTGCCTAGATGCGAAACGCACCTCAATAGAACATATTGTTGGACACATGGATGTTCAGAGGTCGCGTTTGGCCATCTCTTTGGACAAGAGATGGTCAAACGTGACCTCTGAACATCTATGTGTACCACTCCTTTTAAGTCAATAGGATTTTGCTGACCTGCACACCAAATGTAGGAAGATAACGCCGGTCAACATGAGCCTTTAAAGTGTACAGTACGGTATATAAAGCTAAAAACTTTTTTTGTTGCTTGAATACAGGGTTTCCCCATTTTAAACTGCTGTTGGAGTTGTGGCAGATGCCGGGGACTTGATTCACCCACCGGTCAGGTCTCCTATGGTGAGATCTCTACCACTGAGTTCCCAGCTTTGCCCATTAGCTGAGCCCAGGGCCATCCTTATAATAAGGATAATAAGGCAGCCTGAGACGATTGTCTCAGGGGCACCTCATTGTGTCACCTGCCGCCCCTTTCCGATGAGAGAATCCCAGGTTGCTCAGAGCTCTCTGTGACAGTTTGGCCCGTATCCCGCCCAGCTCCTGGCAGCCAGTGGTGATGTCACTAGTTGCCAGGAATGGAGCAGGATGCTCTATTTGGCATCCCGCCCAGCTCCTGGCAATGAGCACTGCCCCCACATAAGGTGCACCATTAGAAAACAAACCCCAAAACGTGCATTGGCAGTACCCTCCCTCCCCCTTTCCCAGCCTCAGGTGAATAGTCTAGGGACACCGGTGGCTGAGCCCATTCACATGAATGTATTTTTTTTGTACTTTGTATACAACAATGCACTAAGATCAATATTATGTGCAATGTTGTAGATTTCACCCCTTCGCCTTTGGCTACCTTGGCTCTACCTTTTATCGGAAGTGTACACTGACCCTTGTCCAATATGGTGACCTAACCGAATAGGCCGCCAAGATGGCAGCACTGGCAATATGTGACATCTGGTTTTCTCTTCTCCACAGATGAATCTAGATGAGGATAAGGCAGCAGGAGGCTTCAAATTCAAGAAACGCGAACGGAAAAATCGATAAGTATTTACGATTAACTTTTCTTGAGCTGTAAATCTATCATTTTATGGACAGGGACCTAAAGGGGGAAGGGGTGCTAAATAGTCGGCTTTGCTGCGCTATTAACCCAAAACGTTACCCAACACACATTGCAGGCTACATGCAAATGTTACCACTGGCCTCTGGTAATCTCTCAAAAATGAAGAAACAAAAAATGAAGACAAAAATGAAGAAACAATCCCCCATATTATGACATTATGTTTATAGAGGTGATTTTCCCTTTACAGGATTAAAACACAAGGTGGAAGTGGCCATATCCATTACAGATATCATCAGCCAGGCACACCATACGCCATCTAGATCCGCCCTGGAGCGTGACAACATGGGGGGCAGCGCCGAGGACGGGGGTGACAAAGAGGTGAAAGCCGAAGCCAACACGGAAGAGACCATCGAAGAGGACAAGGAAGGAGAGGAGAACACCAACGGGGAAGCCGGACCAAACGAGAATGACTCAATGGAAGCCGATAAGCTGATGGCAACGTTGGACAGCCAAGAAACGGTAGCCAAAGCGGGGCCGACCCCCAGGAAAGCTCCGAGATTTAAACAGAGGAAGTCCAAAGAGTTTAAAAGCAGACCTCCGAAAAAGGGAGTTTTAGGGTAAGAAAAAAGTGTGAGCTTGCTTCTGCAGGTCAGTTACAATTGATTACCTACGTGCCGACTGTGCCGGGACAGACCAGCATCTCTCTCCTGCTGATACTGTGTCCTGGGCCAGGTCCCAGGATCACAGAATCAACCTTATTCGAGTTGCTGCCCATGCACAGTAACTTAAAAAGGAGATTGGGGGTCGCAAAGTGGGTGGTCACTACATATTTAGAGGTGGGGTATGGGTGGGATCATCCCGGAAAGTGGGCTTGATGGGTGGTCCCAGCATATTGAGAGGTGGAGTCTGGACAGAACCAACTGCTCAGGGTCCTCTTGGCCATGTTATAGTGTAGCCCAGTCCCAGTTGCTTTCACTTTTCTGGCACAAGGCAAATGAAATAAAAAAACGAATGAAGAAAAATGTTCATTGGTTACTATTGTGGGTTTCATTTTCCATGTGACAGTTGTACATTCTGCCTTTGTTGATGTGACTTTCCCCCAAGAGCTCTTCTTAACTCCCACAACAAGAAAAAACATACATATTGGCCCCAGTGTGTATGTGTGCGAGAGTCTGGTAGAGACAGCAGAATGTCAGCTCCTCGGGGGTGGGGACTAAATGTAAATTGTACATGTGTTCTGTAATGTCCCAGGGATTAAGTGGTGCTGTATAAATGCATATAATAATATTCAGACCTATTCCATAAAATGCGTTTCTTGTACTGACTCTGGTTTCTGTTTGATTCATCTAGTTTTGGAGATGAAATTCCAGGAATGGACGGACTAGGAACAGGTGAGCTACAGGAAATCTGTCTTCGGTTGTACTTTTTTTGGTTATACCGGAATAAGTTCAACTTAAAGTAAACCAGCACTGAGAAAAATATGGAGGCTGCCACAGCCTATCTCCTTCTGAAAATTCCAGCTACTTGGCTGATTCCGGCTTCAGTATTTTGTATGTCACTGATCCAGAGCAAGCATGCAGCAAGTGAAGAATGACTTGCTACATGTATTTTTCATCATTCGTTTTTATCACACCAACACGCTAAGGCAATCCGTATGTTTCGCGGCACGCTGCAATGCACCATGGTGGCACGTTTGACTTTCAGGACATTTTGATGCATTGGCAACCCACGTTAATGCGAGATCTGTAAATGTGTCATTCACAGTGCTGTGACATGAATTGAAAAAATGTGATTTCATGTACTGGTCTTCCACGGGTCAGCTGTATACTGACTATCAATGTAAGGTGGCCCTTTTCCACTGACCACTAATGAAAGGGGTCCTTCTCTACTGACCACCTATGTATGGGGGCACTACACAGACCATCAATGTAAGAGGACAATTCTCCACTGGCCACCAACGTAAGGAGGTCCTTCCCTACTGACCACCTGAGTATGGGGGCACTACACAGACCATTAAAGGAGAACTATGAGGTGAGTGAAAATCACTCAGCCTCATAGTTCTAGCCGACCTGTGACAATTAAACTGTCACAGGTCGGCTCAATAGATAAGGAAGTGAGCGAACACATACCGTCGCTCACTCACTTCTCGATCCTGTGCCGGAAGAGAGCCGTGACTGTCACTCACGGCTCCCTGCAGGGATCCCCCCCCTCCCCTGTCCGATCCTCCAGCGCTTACACATTAGTGTAAGAAGGCATTTCCCCACTGGCCACCAAAGTAAGGGGGTCCTTCTCTACTGTCCACCTATGTATAGGGGCACTACACAGACCATCAATGTAAGGTGGCATTTCTCCACTGGCCACCAATGTAAGAGGGTCCTTCTCTACTGACCACCTATGTATGGGGTGTAAGGGGTTCCTACTCTTTGACCACTTATGTATGGGGGCACTACACAGACCATTAGTGTAAGAGGGCATTTCCCCACTGGCCACCAATGTAAGGGGGTTCTTCTCTACTGTCCACCTATGTATAGGGGCACTACACAGACCATCAATGTAAGGTGGCATTTCTCCACTGGCCACCAATGTAAGAGGGTCCTTCTCTACTGACCACCTATGTATGGGGTGTAAGGGGTTCCTACTCTTTGACCACTTATGTATGGAGGCACTATACAGACCATTAGTGCAAGAGGGCATTTCTCCACTGACCACCAATGTAAGTGGGTACTTCTCTACTGACCACCAATGTAAGTGGGTACTTTTCTACTGATCACCAATGTAGGGGGCAATACACAGACCACCAATGTACGAAGGCATTTCTCCACTGGCCACCAATGTAAGGGGGTCATTCTCTACTGACCACCTATGTATAGGGGCACTACACAGACCATTAATGTAGGGGGAGATTTCTCTACTGGCCACCAATGTAAGGGGGTCATTCTCTACTGACCACCTATGTATAGGGGCAATACACAGACCATTAATGTAGGGGGGGATTTCTCTACTGGCCACCAATGTAAGGGAGCTTTAGGCTGAACAGCAATACCTTTCGTAGAGAGCAGCCCTGCTTGTCACATACCCCCCTAAATGTGCCACATTCCGCATTCTTTGATTTATTCTTATATCTCCGCTTACTGTTCAAGCTAATATCCCGTGAGCTGTAAATGTTGAAAATATAAGCATGGGTTTCCCAATACCGGAAGTTATTTCAAGGGTTCCTCCATGTGAAAGAGGTTGAGAAAGGCTTCTGTAGACAGCAAAATCCCTTTACAGAAAAATACGGTGGACTGGGCGGCAGTGACGGTTTTTTTTGTCTCTTGTATCTATTGTTTTATTCTTTGCTGACAAAATGCACAGCGAGTAAGAGGATTCTTCATAAAAATAAGCTCCTTATCCCTCCCGTGCATCTCCCCATAGACAGGGAAATCAGGATTAGGGCCATCAGAACATGACGACGAGAGAGCATAATCCCGATTGACTTAACTAATAAAATTAAATGTGTATTAACCTCTTGCTGGCCAGACACTTTGCAATATGAAGCAGCTTGAATGGAAATAGATGCACATCCGCTACGTCCTTTTTAAAATCTCTTTAAAAAGCTTTATACAAAGCCAAGTCAAGGCCCATAGCTCTCCACCAGACCCTGGCGTGTTTCACCCCATCGGGTGCATAGTCTATGACAGCCTTTCTCAACCAGGGTTCCGCGTAACACTGGGGTTCCTCCAGATAAATCCCTGGGGGTTCCCTGAGAAATCAGCAATTTCTGACTCTTGGATATGTAACCAATAAAACCAGTAACGTTTATAAATATCTGTAAGCGGGGGCATTGTTCCCACTGACTACCAGTGTATGTATTGTCAGTGTGTGCTGGTTAGGAAAAACTGACATATTTTTGAAGGGAGAGATACAGTGCTATAATCTACTGTACAATGTTATACTCTACTATACAGGGCTATACAGGGCTATACTGTACTACTACTATACTCTATACAGTGCTACACTATGCTATACTCTACTATACAGTACTTTACTGTACTATACAATGCTATTCTCTGCTATACAGTACTATACTCTACTATAGAATGCTATACTGTGCTATACTCTACTATACAGTACTATTCTCTACTATACAGTGCTATACTATGAGCTATACTCTACTATACAGTACTATTCTGTACCATACAATGCTATTCTCTGCTATACAGCACTATACTGTACTACAGTGCTCCCCAACCTTTTTATCGCCGCGGACCGGTCAACGTTTGATAATTTTACCGCGGCCCGCTGAGGGTGGGACGTTGATTGTTTATATTTTAGATTGTTTTGATTTAATAATTTTTATTTGTGCTGTCAGTGCCATTATTTTCTAATGGCACCACAGTCGTGCCAGGCAGATTGAGCGTTTTCCTGCTGCAATACAGCCCTGCCCGTGTGGTTGCACACAATCGCAGTTGATCCCCTCTCTCGGCACCGCTCTCTGCGCTCATTTAAGAGAAAAAGAAAAAAAGTGTAAAAAGCACTTGCCCGGCGGGCGCCCGGAACTACATGTCCCGGGTGTCGGGCGATACGAATTCCGCGGCCCGGTACCATACCACGGACCGGTACCGGGCCGCTGCCCGGGGGTTGGGGACCACTGCTGTACTACACAATGCTATACTGTACTATTACTATACTCTACTATACAGTACAATGCTATACTCTACTATACAGTACAATGCTATACTCTACTATACAGTACAATGCTATACTCTACTATACAGTACAATGCTATACTCTTCTATACAGTACTATGCTATACTCTACTATACAGTACTATTCTGTGCTACACAATGCTATATTCTACTATACAGTAATACTACTATACAGTGCTCTACTATGCTATACTCTACTATACAGTACTATAAGGTACTATACAATGCTATACTCTACTATACAGTACTATACTGTGCTATACAATGCTATTCTCTGCGATACAGTACTACTAATATACAGTGCTATACTATGCTATACTCTACTATGCAGTACTATACTGTACTACACAATGCTATACTGTACTATACAATTATATACTTTACTATACAGTACTATACCGTACTACACAATGCTATACTCTACTATACAGTACTAATACTATTCTATACTCTACTATACAGTGCTATACTGTACTATACAATGCTATTCTCTGCTATACAGTGCTATACTGTACATTGCAGTGTGGTGAGCTACAGCCCCTTGTATTCACATCTCCATAAACTTCTTAGGACACTTTTTTTTTGTATCATGCCTCTGTGCCACCCCCTTTGCACCCTTCTTTTTTCCTTTGACTCTTTTTTTCTTTCATTCAATATATATATATTTTTTTCTGCAAGGTTTAGAAAAGTGGGCTTTTGTTTGGGTTGGTTAACCTTTTGGGGTGTGTCTATATTACTTTTTTCAGGTAGGGCGGGGGGGATATTCAATTTGATTTTGTCCTGCCAGGGCATTTCTGAAGTTTGGGGTGTGCAGAGAACAGTTATCGGAGCCGCCTGCTGTCCTCATACCTATTTTCTTAACTAAATCCAGGTGGTGACTATTTTATTGGACAGGCAGTGTGTATCTGAGCTGGAGAATGTCTTAACTGAGCTGTATTTTATAGGACGAGGCTGACACCTAGTGGCGGAGATGGTAAAAGCGACAATATAAAAATTGCACAAAAGCAACAAAGTATATAGTATTATTATTATACAGGATTTATATAGCGCCAACAATTTGCGCAGCGCTTTACAATATAAGGAAGACATTACAATCACAATACAATTCAAGACAAGATGGTAAGGAGGGCCCTGCCCATGGGGGCTTGCAGTCTAAAAATATATGACTCATTTGAAGTGTATGCAGGGCTGGATTTTCTCTCTCTGCTGCCCCAAGGCCAGGTTCCTCAATGCACCCCCTGCCGCACACAC